AAGCCCCAGTAGATAGTTGTATGTCATAGTTGCACATCCTTCTAGTTGCTGTATGTGGGACGCAGCCTCAGCATGGCCGGAGAAGCGGTGCGTCGGTGCACGCCCAGGATCCGAACCCAGGCCACCAGTAGCGGAGTGCACGCACTTAACCGCTAAGCCACGGGGCCGGCCCTCATATACATCATTAAATGTTGGACTTTGTCAAAAAATGTCCACATCTCAAAATGCATCTTTGAGTAAGTAAACATTCATTCATTCTTTCATTCATTTATTTGTTCTTAATTCAACACATATGATAACCTACAGACAATAAGCCAGTTAGATCTTCTGAAGCAATATTTGTGACTTAAGGCTGGTAAAGTTATGAAGCTGGAGGCATGTTTCTTCCTTAACTCTTTCTCTATACTTCTCCATTTTGAGACAGATTTCCCCTTTATGCTGACCCAGGGCTTCCCAGCTCAGTGGTGGCTTAATTCTCATACAGAGCCCCAGTCCCCATTTTCATACACCCTCAGGGTCCTGCTTTTTGTGGAAAAGCAAATGCATGTGGTCTGGTCTGAGCCTTTGCAATATCCTAGCTACTCTAAAAGCACCAATTAAGGGCTTACAAGAAGAAGCAAGATGGGTGACTTCTTTCCATTTTAGAGATGAAAAAAATAGCGTAAAAAAAAAAAACCAAAATTGCCACAGCTGGCAAATAGCATAGCCTAGATCTGAACCCTACTTTTCCCCCTTTCTCACACAGCCCCTAAATTGCTAATTCACCTGATGGTCCTCTTGGTGCTAAAAGGCAAATGGCTTAATGTGCTATTGCTCCAGACTCCTAAATTTAGGGCTTTCGAGGTGGGGAGGGTTCTTTCAGCATCCTCAAATCATACTGTATGGTGTCCCCCACCGGCCAACTCCAGGCTCCCTCCTCCTTACCAGGGAAGCACTGGGTCTAGGATGGAAGGAGAGTCCAGGGATGAGGAGAAGGCAGGGGAGAGGGATGCAGAAGAGGAAAAGGGAGTTTAAAATGTGGTGAGGCTTTTTCTAGCTTTTAATGCCCACTGAGAGAAGATTTTACAACATGTCAGCTAAACAAGGCAAAGGCAAGGTCTAAAGAGGGGAAAAAGTAGAGAAAAATATCACAGAGAAAAGAATTGTCCTTCCCAAGGGATGGTCACCCTAGCAACATTCTTCCGCGAAGCCATTCCTTCGCAGCCCAAATCGCAGAGCCCCACAAAGCAGCTCCTGCAGCGATGAGGAAGCCACCCGCTGAGCCACAGAACAGGGAGGTGAGGAGGAGTGCTGGTCAGAGCAGACTCCGGGAGGGAGCTGGAAGGAAAAGCAGTCTGTGTGAGGCCAGTGCCGGCCACGTGTTTGCTAAGTGGTGACCTCGTGCCTGGACAGTGCAGCCAAGGTCAGAACGGGCTAGTCAGAGGATGTGACCTTGTGGTCCAAGAGTAACCCTCACAAGCTGACCTCGTGGCCCTGCAGGCAGTGGAAAAAAGCTTTCCCAGAGCTGTGGGTTCTACCCTAGGGTCTGGAGCACTACTTACCCTGGGGAACCTGTGATAAGAACCATTTGCACCTACTGGGAAAATAGCATTAAAAACAAAGTCTCCCAACCCAGAAAACTTCTCCACAAAGGTAGTAGAGACAGAAAACAGTTTTATTAGTGAATAAATTTTATTTTTTATTTATTTATTTTTTTAAAAATTTTTATTTATTTATTTTTTTCCCCCAAAGCC